ACCAAAAACAAGTATGTGTTCATAGCTGCTACCCTTCAACAATAACTAACTATTCATCAAGTACGGATTTATAAGTATAAAATCATTCACAAAAAGGCATCACAGCATTCTGAAAGACTACTTCTCGAAACCTGAAATATCTTTCGCTTAGTTTTGAATACTTTATCGTTACAATTTAAAATATGATCACGGAGCTGTTTTATTCCATATTGCTTTCAGCTATTCTTGCAGGTATTGTATAACTTTTCATTATGCTTAACAAAAATTACCTTTACATTGCATACTTGATCGTTTTATTTTATAAATATAAATTTAATTTTATGATTTTGAAAGAATTCAATACAAAATTTTATCAGCTCATTTTTTTGTTCAATAAAATGGATGAGCAGAAATTATTTTCAGTTACAGTTGCATACGATGTGCAGTGTCCAGGCGGTAAGTTGACATCAGAACAACGCATGCAAATTGTTGCACAACACAATAATTATCGTAGTAAATTGGCTAATGGCAAAGAACGAAGTAAAGATGATAATTTCATGCCAAGTGCGCGAAATATGCTAAAAATGGTAAAAGTCATAATGTTATCGCAAAAATTATTTATATTATTTTTACTTTTTTAATTGCTTAAAAGTTAAAGATAATCAAAAAGTTATTAATTCGGTAATAAATAATAAATTTTGTTACTTAAATTTATTCATTCAGATATGGAGCTGTGATTTAGAACGAACTGCGCAACAGTGGGCAGATCATTGCAGATTTCAGCATTCAACAAGACAACAGAGAAATAATGCTGGTGAAAATATTTACTACTACCAATCTTCGGAAGATATCACAAGTATGTAATTGTTCGTAACATTAAATCATAAATTCCTGTACAAAAAAAAAAGAAATTTTGGGCTTTATTAAAAGATTAAAACGAGTAATTATAAAAATTTACGTAAAAGATTATTAATTTCATTCATTGAACTTCAGATTAAAAAAAAAAATATCCTGATAGTAAATAAATCAAAGAAAGAATTATCTATTATCAGAAATCAATGTGCGTATAGAAGATTATTATTAGGAAGTAAGATATAGGTAAAGTGCTGATTCTTCTTCAAATTCAGATGAAGCACAAAAAGCTGCATTGATGGCTGGTGAAGCATGGTGGTCTGAGTTATATGAATTTTACTATAGTAATCCATTAAATGATATGACAATGAATCAGTTCAATCCAAAAGTGGGACATTTTACACAGGTATCGTAATTATGTTTTAGTCCTAAAACTGTTGAAACATTTTTTTAAATACTAGAAATTTTTGTATTACTCTTGTTAAATTTTCTTTATTCTAGCATCTAGAAATATAAAAAAAGCTCAATAATGGAAATGAAGAGCAAATTTCAGATGGCCTGGGCAAATACACATAAAATTGGTTGTGGTATTGCACCACAATGTAGCAATGGTCATAAAGTAATTGTGGTTTGCCAGTATAAAGAAGCGTAAGTTTTATAGCAATTGTTATATCATTGAATCTGATAACTTATCAGTACGTTTTAATTACTATTCTATTTACTAGCTTATTATAAAGTTAATCAAGCTATGTTTAATCATTTTATGATATTAAATATTAAATTAAATTATTTTTCAGTGGAAACATGATTGGCAGCAAAATTTATGAAGTTGGTCAGCCATGCAAAGGGAATAGTGATTGTGCAACAAATAAATGCTCAATTGAGGACGGACTGTGCGTCAAAGAAGAATAAATATATTACTTTAAATTCTAATCTTTTAGATTTAATAATTTTTTAATATGCTAGATTTATGGGGTGATTGATTTTGTTAGTTTCATTGGTTTAAAATTAATTGCTTGTTCATTTGTAAAAAGTTAATAAAATGTATATTAAGCAAAAATTTTTGTTAGCATTATGTAAAACTGATCGGTTTTAGTGTATCGGTGATAAATAAATTGAGTTCATAATGAATACACAAAAATAATAGTTGTGAGATGACTCAAAATCTCATAATTATGCATGCATATTTTCATCGATAGCTATGACTTTATATGTTTTCAAATGTTAAGTAAAAGAACTGTTAAATGAAGTTCTGTAATACATTCAGTTCGCAAAGATTTGGAAAAACTTTCAAATTTCAAAATTTAAGGATACTTTTAATAAAAGACATACTTATGAATTGAAAAATCTAATCAGGTTCTCAATTTACGCGCTGATTTCACGTACAGCTTACTTTCAAATACGTCTCAAATAAACCACACGTAATCAAGAACTCTTTTATAATTCAAATAATAAAATATGACTTCACTGACTTTTTCTGAAATATTTGTGTTGCACATAACGTTGCATACGGAACGACATATGAAACAAGAGGAAGTAATTCGACAAATTCAATTGGGTGACAAGGATATGTGCTAACTTTTCTCAACAAATATTTATATTTAATAATATTTGTTATTTCAATGCTTAATCATTTTAATCAAGAATTAATTTCTGTTCATTTCAGTATTCGTTTATAAAAAATCGCGCAGTAATTAAAGAAAGCAAAAAATTTTTAAAACTGAAAATAAATCTATAAATCTATTTTATATATTGTTTACTCACAAACAGTGTAGTGATATGTGTCATTCATGCTATTCTGCTTGTCAATTTCTTTCATTTATCCAAAATTGTATTATTTGTCTGATGGCACTTTCTATAATTTCGCTTTTTTTCAAGGCATCATTACAGCTATCACACTTCTTTTTGAATATTTTTGATCACTCAAAATTTCCTTACAATTTTTTTCGTATTTGAAAAGTATGTCTTTCAGTGGAACTGTTTCAGAGTTCAATGGTAGAATTATGGAGGGTTGCGTTGAGTAGTGCTTTTTTGTTTAAGAAAGAAATCCAAAGCACTTCACTCAAAAAAAACTTAGTGTTTTGGTCGATGAATCGTCGATATTGCGTTGTATTTTTTCCTAATGCTTTTCTTTTTCAAATAATAATAAAATCTCTTTAATTAAAAGCTACTATTTCCAAATTTGAAGAAATTTGGAATTTTTTCACTGAATAGTTTATAATTAAAAGGATTATTTTAATGAATAAAACGGTTTATAGAGGTTATCATAGGCTTAACAACAATAATAATCTGCCTTCAGTTTAGAAAATTATTGAATTTTATATTTCTATGCAGGAAAGTAAAATTAATGTAGCGGTACCTCGTGGTATTCTCCCATCTCCACGTTTGATCGCAAAGTTTGAAAATAAAGACGTGTTTTTACGATTATTGTTGGAAATGGAATTGCTATATGGATCTGCAGCGGCGAGGTTACCAACTTTTTTCAGTGATGAAAATTGGATTAGATACACGCGAATAACAAATTTGATTGAAAGATGTTGTTATTTGCATCAACTTTTTGAATGTGAACAAGAAGCTGATAGAAAGCGCAAAACAAAGGTGTGATTTGTGCTGAAAATCTTAAGGCTGTATTTAAATAGTAAAATGAGTAACGAAGAAAGTATGCCGTGAGAAGCATTTTCGAAAAATATTTCATGAATCATAAAATGCTTCATTACAGGTGTTTCAAGCTTCAAAAACTGGTAATAGCGATCCTTTTCCATTCAATACTTTGTTTCAATTTGGAAGAGAAGATTTTCGAAGTAAATTTATTTTTTAGTTTTTAGCAAAATCTTAAACATATTCCAGCAAGGTTTCTTTATTGTTATGGAATGAAGCTATTTTGAGCCGTTCCGAAACTTAAGCCTACTAGTTTTGCAAACATACAACTCTTAAGGGTTTGCTTACGAGCTTTTTGGAAGTCGATTATTAGCTTCGTGGCGGTGTAATGATTCATTTCCGCCATTGTTAATCGATTGCGCTCAACTTCATGATTTCAGTTATGCAACGCAGCGGAATGTGACCAGGTATTAATTGATGTAGATTATTGAATGTTCAAATGCCATCAGTGTTTTCAGTTGTCATATTTCTTTTCGATTGAAAAACCATATTTTTTGTTGTTGCGATTGTTATTGATTCATTTTACTGATTGTTTTGATACTAGATTCTTATCGATCAGCACCTTACAAGTAATTAAAGTCGTAATTAAACTATCAGTTTTTTAATGAACTAGGAAGTGAAATAATATTTCAAATACTTAAATTTGCAGAGATATCGAATTTCATAAACCTAAGTTAATTTCAGGCAAATGAAAGATTTAGTTCTTGATAACAGTCTTCAACGAAATCCATTTCCACTCATCTTTGTAAATTACCACATAACAATTGATCATGCCATGAATATTATCAAGTAAGTTACTGTGATTTTCAATCGAGAATATTGTTTTTAAGTAGGCAGTCGTGTCAATAAATCTGATAAATAACACCGTTTTCAATGAAGTCTGATAAAAAAATGCTTTGCAGCTTTGTATGGTTGAAAATTTGTTCTATCCTTCAGCAGTAAACAGCTGTCCAATTAAGACCACGAAATTAGAATACAAAATAAATATGGCACGTATTAAGCTCGTGGCTTCGTAAGCGTTGCTTGCCAAAATATCGTCCGTTAACAGTGACAGAAAATGGAAAAGTAAATGAGCAAGTATTTTCTGAGCGGCAAAGGTGTGCACCATTCATTCCTGTTATCACATCAGCAACAGTTCGTGAATGCCTAGGCAGCACTGATTCCGGTATGTTTTACAGAAGTAATTACTTTTCACCATTTTTGGTGGCAGAATGTATATACTTTAATCAGTTTCTTTAATCTACTTGTTTGTGCTCCAAAAATACGGAACCGAATTTTCAAATACTTTGGTCTTTTTGATAATTATATTTTCTCAAGAAATTTTAATTATGGTTAGACGTGAAAATTACATTATTTAAGAGAGGACCATTAAAAGGAGAATTAATATTTTGTTGCAGTGTTAAGGAGTAATTGCACCAATCTTGTCGAATAGATTTTATAATTTTATTCTGAAACTTCGTTTTTGTAGGTGAGATCGCATATATCAGTCATAAAGCCGTAGATTTTTTGCCTGGCCCTCTGACCAGGTACAAAGCATTTGTACTTTGTGCTACATCGGGCGAAAAATTGATGAATTCTTCGTCAAAAACAGTGAAGGCTGAGCAGTTGAAATCATATAGGCTGCCCCTAAGCAAATTTCTAAAGTAAGTAAATGTAGGTTTTATTGGACAAGGATCTAAGTTTCTGACCAGACCAAAATAAATTACTAATTCGAAAACTTGTTGCAGCATGAATCAAATGTTGGTAACGATGCCTCTGCATATTACAGCCAATATACTTCGTTATGTATATAATGGTTGTGAATGGAAAGAAGCTTTCCAGAAGCACATACCATATTTTGATGTAGTCGAAAATTTGCATCAAAATCATCACAATGATTTAAATGACCTCCAGGTGACTTTGTGTTTAACTTCGCCTTAATTTCTGTCTGGCGTTATTTCTGACATCTTTAAATATATATTTGGTAAAGCCTTGAAATCAATTATGCTATATAAATAAGGCCTAAACATAACAAGCTTACAAAACTCATTTTAAAAAAAAACAATTCAATTCCTACTCTGGGGAAAATAAACATAATCATTCGTTTCCTGAAGTATCAGAACCACATAGTAAATAATCGTGTTCTTCTAGATCATCAAACAGTGGATTTCGAATGCAGAACGAAGAGGACGAAAAAAACAGAAACATGTCCATCTGTATACTCGAGAAGAACGAAGAGCAGCTCAATCCGTACTAACGGAAATTATGATGAAAACACAAAATCAAGATGCCAAGAATTAAAAAGAGTAAGACAAACATAATACGACTATACCATATCGAGTACCAAACGTGAAGGACACAATTATTTTGATTAATTCCATTGTTTCTTTAATCTTCTTTCACATATTTATATCGTTTACTCATTATTATAATTACTATGTAACAGTACGCTGTCGAAAAAATGGCACTACCAATTACAATATATTACAGTGGACATAAATAGTATCACATAAATGCAACACATTATCAGGCTAAACAGTAACTGCTGAAAAATATTCGCTTATACGACGTACACAGTAAGAATTCCACATCTAGCGATTACTTTATGCATGGGAAATACGTAGAACAAGTTTCTACAAACCAAACAGATCAAAGATTATTACACATTTAAGACATTAACTGCTGAACTCGAAATTTAAGAAGCAATATAATATCGGCCTATAAAGGCATAAGTTAATTTCTTAGGCAGGGAAGATTTCCATGCCAAATATCTTTTACTCGAGAATGTATGCTATACGGTGTATTTAAATTACTTTTGAGATGCATCTTGTTTAATGAAGTACAACTGATAATACTGATTAGATACATCATAAAATATTTTAATTTACTACAACTCCTATTACGCAACTAACACTTAGAAAACAAATATTGTATTTAGAGGAAGACAGACACGAAATAGAGAAAGAATTCCACATCTAACGTTTATTAAGTTAAAGCCCTTAGAAGGAACCATGCAATATTCTTGGACCTGTATTATTTGGGAGCAAAAAGTTCTCTAAATGACAGAACCAGGCTTATACTTTAGGAGCATTGTATCAGTGGTGTTCGCTGAATGCAACAGAACTTTTCGGCAATACACCAACTTTCTGAGCCAAATTAGCAAGTCGATTTGCTTGGGTGCTCTTCTGCTCATCGTCAATAATCTGAAAAAAATTTTCCGACTAATTGTCTCAAATGCATGTCGATTCTATGCATATTATAGAAATAAATTATATAAGCTGATGTACTTAGCAACGTGTTGTCAATAGATACTGTATTTAAGCTTGTATATTGGGATTTCTAGCAATGATATAAGACAATAAGAAATTTACTCGGCGTGTGACGACTCGATGAACGAAACCATCTGCACCAACATGAAATATTGTCAAACCATCGTACCACTTTAGCTTGAAAAAAAACAAACAAACATAAAACTGTAAAACAAAGAAATTATTTTGTGCTTCAGTGACTACTAAAAACAAAAAAATTTAAGAACTTACTCTTTTGATACGGTATTCGTATTTAAACAACTTCGGATTTAGCAATGCTCTAAGCAGTGATATATATTTCACACGCCACCTCAATCGTACTGTTCCATCTTCAGATATTGGTAATATACTTAAAACCTGAAAACAATACTTCCGATTCAGCTTCAACTTGTGAGAGAACTATGCACAGAATTATCAACAGCTGCATACCTCCAGTTCGATATGAGGGCAACAGAACAAGCATGCAGTACTAATCGTTCCGAAATAAATCATGAGTATATCACGATTCCTGAAAAGTGATTGAATGACGGAAATCTCTAATAAAACTCACAAAAAGATGCCAGTGTTCTATTTTGACTAATTTTTTGCAGACTGATGGAAACAAAGTTTATTTCCATGCAAAAAGAAGCAAGAAGGTTTGCATGCAATATTTTTTTTCTTATACATAACGATTTTGTGAATAATTTTGGTATAACACTTTAAATCAAGAATTTTATGAAATATGTCTACAAAAGAACTATAGCAATTAAATGAAAATAACAAAGGAAAAGCCAATAAAATTTACGGGACAGTTAAATGAAAGATTTCATCTTTATATATTACATTCGGCCTGTAAATTGTATAATCAGCTTGATAGCGAAAAAACATTGGAGCCTGGAAACAAATCCTGTCAATTTTAATAAATAATATCACCAAATTCTTTAACAGCAACTAATAAATATAATATGTAAACAAAATTCTTCTGCAGAAAATCTCACACTCCATCAAACACAATCTGAAACACAATAATGACATCCTGACAGACACCTCTCCTATAAGAATTTCATAAAACATAAAAAATTTTATGCTGTTCCGAATAACCAAATGGCTCTTCAAAAACCTGGAACATCTTAAAAAACTGCTACCGTAATTTCTACTCTTTTGCGTACATGTTCCAATTGAAACATCTCTGGTCCGTTCCCATGCATACTACTATAGGCGCGTGAAGCAAATAAGCACATAGAAGACGGAGCGGCGAAATTTCTTAGATGACAGCACATCGTCCTTAACATCACTGGTGATGGAGCTGTGAAAAAAAGAAATCAAAATTAATTCAAACTGCTTAAGCATGTATGTCAATTCTCAATGAAACAAAAGATATTTTATGAAAGTTCCTGATATTTCGAAAAACTTAGATCTTGAAATCAAATTGTTAAATAAACAGAAAAACCGATCAAAATTGTTGGAATTATAGCCAGTCAATATTAAAAAAAATCATTTCTGACCTTCAGTAGTTTCTGCTTCACTAGCTGCTTTTAATTTTGATATAACTGCGGCACACTTACGATCTTCTTCAGTAATCTTGAAAAATTTAATTGAATATTACAGTTAGAAGCGAATGGTTTTTTAAAACAGAAAAGCAAACATTACACATTTATTAAATGAGATTATTATAATTCTGCGCAGCGCGAGACTACTTCTAATATTCTGTGGTTTCTTTTTTATAAAATATAGAGAAGCAATTTCCCACTGAATTGTTAAATCAACTAATATAATACCCTGACAAAAAATAATAGTTCTAAAAAATGAATGCATTTTAATATATACTATAAAACAGTAAAAAATTAACAGGTCGGTTATTGATTTTATAAATTTGTCCATCTTTATTGAGACGAATATCTAACGCTCCTTCAACTACATCTTCTTCCTGAAAAATAACGAAATTATAATGGAACGACTAAAATTAAGAAAAAGCAAAATAGTAGAGTAGAGTCATTTTTATCACAACAGGCCTGATGATAGAGTTGAATTGTCGATAACCGCCAAAGAACTACAACAACATCGTCATTTTCGTAAATGCATGACCCCAACTTCTAAAAAGTTTTCAGATTTTTGCATTAATGAAGTCTTGACTAATGCAACGAACAGTTAAAAAATACTACAAATATAGAAAGAATATTTTCAATCCATCAAAATCAAAATCAACTGAATTTTTTCACCCATCATCTTTTTGCATTTTCCAAAATCAAATCTTTTATTTCAATAATTTTGCTGAGATTTGAAAAGTCAAATTATACCTCAAACCTACTAGCTGCCCGCAATAAACTGAAGTATAATTGCGTATAAGAAATATGCCTCATTAATTTATCTATCCCCCTGTAAATGAATTCTTTCACACTACAGAAAAATCACAACTTTACAATAAAAACAAGAGACGAAAAAGCTATAGATTAATATTTATTCCGAAAAGTCTACCACCACGCAAACATTGCGAATACAATATCTTCAAAGTTAACGACGAAAGGTGAAGTCAACGATAAAAGACTGAAAATAACAGTACTTTATGTGTCGATTAAAAATGGAGTCATCAAAGGTAACATCTTTCCTGCAAATCTTCAATAATGTCAGTAGAGGTTTTCGATCACTCAAAAATCTTGGAACCTGAAATAAAGTGAAAATTTTATAACCATAAAAGAAATTGACACATTAATATGAAAAAATGAAAGATAGGCGTAATCTATAGCATGTCATCAAATTTTTCAACTCTAATCGGAGCTGAAGGTTTGACAGGAATATTCGACATTATTCCTCATAGTCTTGTGCTCTCATGTTCTCCTGCATTGAAAATATATTGAAAATATGAAAAAAAAAAAGTACAGCTAATAGTTCAAAGTACAAGGAAGCATCGAAATCCACGACTGCAAATTATGCAGATTATAACATTTCTTTTTGGATAATAAGTTAAACCAACGCTCGTAATCACATTTGTAAAACATACTACTGCATCAGTGAGAGTATCAACATAAAACAATTGGTCTTTAGTTGATAACTCGATTTCACTATTATTTTTAACATCAGTTGAAGTTGTAGCATTCCTACTCGAAAATTTATGCAGAAATCGAATATAATTCGAACTCGTCAAAACTGATCTCCAGTAGAGTCGAGAACAAGGTTGCTGTAAAATCAAAAATTCTCAAAACTGCAATATAATACCACAAGCTTTTACGATAAATTAGAGCTATTTATAATCTGCTTAGCATTAGTTTGAGGATACCGAATCAGTATAATGATGGCTGAAAATGAATGATACAGACAATATTGAGAAAGTTAATTTAAAATTCAAATTTATTTATAACTGCGTTTAAGGAATTTTACAAGAGAATTGAAACAAAAAAAAAGATTCACCTCAGAAACATATTGCAATAACAGTGTCGATGCTGGCATCAGCGAACTGAAAAACCATCGAGATGTAATATTAGTTCGAGGATATACCACCTGTTTCCACATCATTACAATACTATATTTTCCTGTAAAAACACGGAAGAATTAAAGAGCGACGAGATAATACCGTTGTAAGAAAAATATTTAAGCATTATTCCATTAAATTTTATCCAATACATTTTTTAACATATGACACCATTATTTCCCGAAAAGTAAAGTAAAAATTTAGTACAAAAATAGATTTACATACAAAAAAAGAACGAACATCCCATATCAATAGTAATACTTTACTTTCCATCTTGACATTACTTATGTAACCGCTTATTTATGAGTTTTAATAAACGAAGTCCGGAAATGAAAATGTTAAATCTTATAAATATGATTGTTAGCAGTTATGTTCAAAATATTTTCAAAAAGCTTATTTATTAACTTTTCATTCAAAATTTACGTTTGTAATTTTATTAGTTAAAATGGAAATTATATTTTGTAATTGAAAAAATGTAAAATTATAACAAATAAAAGTTGTGACCAAATTTCAATAATTGTTTATCATCATCGCAAATTTTAAGATTAATATATTTGGGAAAATTTTTCGCAAAATAAAAAAAAATAATTATGATTAATAATGAAGACTTTTTTCTATCAAATAAAATTTTGCTTATTTTATTTTTTGTTTTTTAATTTTTATAAAAATTATTCAATATATATATTGAGTTTATTTTCAAATTTTATCATTTATTTTGCAAAGATTTTACAAAACATTTTTTAAAATATTTGTATTTTCTACTCCAAAAACAAACAATATTAATTTTTCAAAAAAATTTCACAGTTTTATCTTTCAAAAAATAAATCAAAGGATAGGACAATGAATTGAAGTAATTTTTGTCATAAATTTTTCTGTTAAAGTTTTTTAAGTTTTTTTTTCAACAAAGAAACGTGTCGTTATTGTTAAAATAGTTTCACGCATACAAAAATAATCTAAAGAAAAAGATTAAAAAAAAATTTTACTTTAGTCACATTTTTGATAAAAAAATAAATAGGTATTACAGAGAGGAACAATTAGGTAATACTTCGGTGAACTCGTGACCCCAATTCATTTCAGATGTAGAATAAATGTGACGAGAGATTCTTTTTTTGCGTACGTTTTATCTATTTCAGTGCATTTATTTCTTCTTTTCTTTTATTCAGTATTTTAGGCTTACAAAAATGAAATACGTTCTTCCAATTATTTAATGTATCATATAGTATTTTTGTATGCAAAATCAAAAAATTGACGTGTATAATTTTGTATGAAATTTGCATTTTAATTTGTATATTTTTGTCTCATAAAAATTTTTCTGTAAATAATTTTTGTAAATAATTTTAGATATTTTGAAGTAGAAGGAAATTTTTAAAAAGTAGCAATTTACGGCTAGTTTAATTTAATTTAATTTAATTTAAAATTAAAAATACTAAATATTTCAGATGAATGTTACTGAAAAACTATTCTTACTAATTTTTATTTGCCTTCTTTGCTTTACTCCAAGTAAATCATGCAAAATAGAATTGAAAATTTTTTCAAAAACAGATCAGCCTTTTATGCTACAGGTTGTTATTCCCTCACTGAAATTGAAAACTGAAAAAATTGAATTTTACGGAAGAAATTGGAATCAAATGTTTTTAGTAAGTATTAATATTTCGCATAATTCTGTCTGACTTTTCATTTAATACATTGCAGTATTGCAAATTTTTGTATTAAATAATTTTAGCATAAAGTGAAAATTAATTAATATAAAAATTTATCAAGTACAGAATTTGCAATGAATTGTACTAACTGAAAAAGATTACGAACAAAGTAAATAGTTTTTGTTTACAATGGTTTATTTTAGGTAAGTTGAAGATGAATATGCAAATCTTCTGAAATTATTTTTGTAGATAATTTTTGTATATTTGAAAATTTTTAAAAACACTGAAAGATTTTTTTTCTTTCAATAATGATAAAAATTAATTAATTCATTTTTTCCATTATTAAATTTTATTAATTTTATTTGAATTAATTTGGCAAATTTAATTACTGCAATAGTATTTCTTTGTTGAAGATTCGTAAAAAGTGTAAAAAACTAAAAATTTATTGTAAAAAAATTGCAGATTGAAGGAGAAAATTGCAGTGAGAAGCCTTGGCATATAAAAACTTGGAAAAAAGTAGATGATCAGTGGGTTCCAGCTGCAGAAATTAAAGCCAGATTAGAAGGATTTGGTTATATTCGAGTGGTAGTTGAAAATAATTATATGCCTTCTTTCCGTGATAGATTTGGTATTTTGTGCTTTAATGGAAATTGTTGAAAAAAAAAGTTATCTTTTTAATGATCAAAAAAATGCTCATAAAGCGATAACAGTATTGAATATTCATTCATTTTTAATAATAATAAGTTTATTCCATCGTTTTGACTTCATAAAAACTGTCAGTACAAAAATACAAAAAATAATGAATGTGATAATTTTCATATTTAAGTATTAAAAGTATAAGACTAAAAATAACAACAATCATATGTATTTTTTACATTTCTACAAAAAAAAATACAGTTTTGTAATTAATTTTTTTGATGCATAGTTTTATAAAAAATGATTGCTAAGTATCTTTTGTTTTTCATAATTTTTCATATTTTTGCATTTTTATGTGATTTTTTGTGTGTACAAATGTTTAATTATTAATTATCAATATAAACAGCGAAAGGAATTCTTATTATTTGAAAAAATTTCCGATCATTTGGTAAAAATTATTTTTCAAAATTTGATCTTTAAGATTTAAAAATAATTCAAAAAATATATTGAAAAAAAAAGATAATCATTAACAAAAAATTAGAAAAAACAATGATTCATACCAAATTGATCTACGAATTGATCACGTTGAAATCAAATATACCTGATTTTAAGAAAAGATATCCATTCATTCTATATTCTGTTAACAACCAATTTAAAAGAAACTCACTCACGTTTTGAATTACACAACTAAAAATACAAATATAATTTGAAATTGTGTCAATTTTTAAATGCATAATGACGTTTTTAATTGTTTGCATAAGGGGTTTTTGCTCAGCCTTAAAATATAATTTGTTGAATAAATATTTATGTTTTATTTTTGCTTGCTATACTTTCATGTAATTAATAATATATAATCAAACAGCAAGAATTGCTTATCGTAAGTAAATGTGATAGAACTGTAGTTTGAAATAAGTATGATTAAAATTACAGTTGAACAAATGATATTAATAATGTGAAAGTTACTTATAAATTAATGCATAATGTAAATTTATTTACTTTTGACAAGAAAAATAATCTCTATTTGATTTTGATGCATTCTTCTGTTCTGTTTTGAATTATAATCATTAAAATCATACTAATTTGCAAGTTTTCTTTTCACGTAAGTAAAAATTTTGACTTTTTTTAGCCGAAATCGAAACTAAATTAATTTTACAAGTTTTTTTAATTGGTGTAAAAAGTAAGCTAACAATTTACACAAAACAAAATGATCGTTACATTTTTGTAATCTTGTACCACACTTCTGAGAAAAAATTCAAATTCAAAAATTATACTAATTTTTTATCTTTTTTTTTGAACAGTGTATAGAGAGTGTGTAAGATATTCTAATGTCTTTTTTACATATTAAAATATTATCAAAAACACTGTAAAATACTTTTATGCATGGGAAATAAAATTACATTACAGTATAGAAATATGTGAAATAGAAGCAAAAAAAAGTTTATTAAAATATGAAAAATATGCAAAACATTCAGAAAGCAATTATGCATTAAAGATAGAATTTTGAATGAAAAATAACTCAATTTAATTTCTATTTCTTTTTAAAATTTAAATCTTTGAAAGGAATACAAAGTCTGTAACATTACAAATCTAATTAAGGCAGAATATTGCGATTAAGGTAGCATAGATGTGCAGCATTTTGCAAGTACTGAACATACAGTATGAAAAGTTGACATGTTTACAAAAACCAGTTAGCTGATAATCATGTAGCTTACTAATTGAATGAAAAAAATATATGTTGTAATTTTAAATATTTTCTTATTGTTTTAATAAAAATTAAAGTTGATAATAGAGTTCGTTTTTCATTGTTAATCCTTTGCATATTGATTGTAATTTAAAGTAATTTAGTAAATTAAATTACTCAGTCAAATCAATCATAAGCACGTGTGGGTATTTGGCTGCGTGATAATGATAAGCCAATGGATCACTTTCTTTCATATCTTGAATAGTAAGATTTCCACTGTTGTAAGTTATTCGATTTCCATAAATTTTCGTCTATAAACAAGTTTTAATATCATAAGTAAAGCAAGATTGAGCTAATCTGAAATGGAAATTGCAAAATTATCTCAATCTTTTAAGATTTATTATACAAAAATCTTTTTTACGTAAACTTTTTATCAGATATCCGATAATTTACATTCATACTGTAATTTATTCCATTCGATAGCTCGAACTTAATAAAGAGTGATTTTTGCTTCCACATTTTCTCATTTTACTTCTTTTACAGGTATTACTGTAATATAATTTTCTATTTCATAGCATGCTTTCTATTTTTTAATCCACATTATGATTTAACCTCATTTTCGTACAATGTATTACTCAACAGTATCATTTTTCTTCAACTTTGACCTCATTTTTCAAGTAAATTCATAACTGCATAAATAATTAACTTCTTCAATCTTTGAATATATAAAAATTCTCCCTAGTCAACTAAGATTAACATTATATCAAGTAAACAATTTCATTCTTACAATGATTCTGTAACAAATTTAAATAAATTGAAATATAAGAAATTTATTAATGCAAAACAAATTTGAGAAATTATTCAAAATCCAAACCGCTAATTCAGTAATTTCTCCATCTTTGATGATTAGTTTTCTGTCATGAACACCTTCTGCATTCATGAATTCTGCTTCAATATCATTTGGAGACTCCATGAACTCCAAAACAACTGTTTGTCCTGGTTTAGCACGAATATTTGAGACACCTCCGTGACAACCACAGATGAGTGCAGTGAGCAAAGTGATCAAAGTTAGTGAAAACATCGTAACTATCATGAAATTAATGCATAAATAGAAATTATACTTACAGATTTACAACGAAAAATAACCATGGTTGATAGCTGAATTCAATACAATCACTATAAACATAGCAAAATAGATCTAACGTTGTAGACGTAATATCTTAACGTTTAAGACGTATTAGACAAAATGACTAATTTCGATAAAGAGTTTCTTAAATCAGTCTTAAATCTCTTAAATTTATAAACATAAAACAATTAGAATCTGATGGCATGAAAATCTTATTCAAATTATGTACAATTTGTATGCGAAACAAAATTGTTTACAATTGTAAAATTCAGATAACTTTTTAAAATTAAAAATAATATAGTTGTAAACTTTTTATAGTCAAATTTAGACATATATTTTTTAACAGCTTATGCTAACTCATTAAAACTTTCACAGTTATCTTAAAATTTGTACAACTCTTTTAAATTGGAATATATTCAATTCCAAAAACCGAAAAAATTTTTAAAAATTCTATGTAATAAACTAAATTTATTTTCGTTACAAAAATAGCAATATTTTTTAGTTGTTTGTAAAGTGAACTGTAATTTATGATGGAATGTCAGTAGTACAAATATTTTTTATGAACAAAAAAACAAATCGAATTTAACTTAAACATTTTTCTGGATAGGCTTTTAATCAAAAAAAGTAGGTAATAAGAGTAATATCAAAAATATATTCTCTGAAATTTGTTAATGCCTATCCAGAAGAATGCTAATTCTGAAATGAGTAAAATGTGATTTTGATGATAATTTATAAACGATATAAGAGCATACACGTAGTAAAAATGAGTGAAATTAAAACTGCAATACATTTTTAGTATTATCGAAAGTAATAAAAGATTACAAAGTAAGTTCAAAGTTCAAAATAATAGAAAGTGTGAAAGATTGTAAGTTTTGAGAAAATCAAATATTTGTTTGCATTTGAAGAAAAGAAATGTGTGATTAGCGTAGAGCAGAATATCATTAGATATATCATTAGTGTTAATAGTAGTAAAAAATTATACAAATAGATGAGAGTAATAATTTGTAAGCTTTTTTCAAGTTAAAAATCTTTGAATTTTGAAATGACTAAAATATAATTTTGGAATGAGTAAAATGTAATTTTGATAATAATTTGTGAACAATATAAAAGCTTTTTTTTTAAGTTAAAAATTTTTTAATCTTAAAATGAGTAAAATATAATAACTTACAACTTTGGTAAATTACATTCAATAAATTTTAAGTAAAATTTTTGTTTAAAATTTACGAAAGCTTTAAGTTATTCGTAATGTTAACGAAAGCTTTAAGTTATTCGTAATGTTAACGAAAGCTTCAAGTTATTCGTAATGTTAACGAAAGCTTTAAGTTATTCGTAGTGTTAACGAAAGCTTTAAGTTATTCGTAATGTTAACGAAAGCTTTAAGCTATTCGTAGTGTACTTATTCATAGAAACTAAAATAATAGTAATGAAATTGATGAAATAAATTTATTCAAACAGGTATAATTATTTGCAAGCAAAATTAAAGATGTAATCTTTTTTTCTTAAGCTTTTTTTCTTAAGCTAAAAAAGAAACACTTGATAGTCACACTGATAAGTACTGCTACTGGAATGAATGTGATTGCAATCCAAGAATATTTAGAAAAAGAGTGCTCAGTTTTGATCAAATTCTCCTTGGTTTAAATTTAGATCAACTGATCACGTGATTGATCAGCTTGTGATTGTAAGACACGAATACACAACATGTGTGCCCATCACAGACAACACACACACACATACAAACATGCAGCATTTTTCGCTATCATAAATCTTTTCTGTCAATGTCATTTTGAAGACTGACAAGAGCTGCAGTGAAATTTGCACCACGTTTTCTTCACGCCAAAGGGGATAAAAATAAAACTGTAATAATAAAATTTGCAGATAAAAATAAAACTGTAATAATAAAATTGGCATTTTATTTGTTACCTAATTATTACTTTTTGATTAACCAGTAATCATTTTCATGATTAGTTAGTAATTAGTTTTTAAGTAATATGATTAGTTTATTTGGCTTAAAATTGACAAAATAAGCCAAAAAAGCAAAATTTTTGACAAGGATTGTTATTTAGAATGTGTTTGAACTGAAAAAAAGTAAAAAAATTTAAATAAAAAAAAATGTAATCAGTTTTTTAAATACAAGAAGTTTATTATTATTGCTTTTAGTTATCTCTAATTTGTATCAGTTTTCAATATTATGCATTTTGATAAAATTTAAAAAATATGCATTTAATAATTGAAAATTTTTCTTATGCATTCATTCATTTCTAATTCTTATTATATTTTGAGAGTTTTTACTTACTTAAATTTTTAAATGAATTATTAAATTTGACTTTTTACTTACTTTAAATTTGTTAATGAAATAACTAATTCAAAGTAAGTAAAATAAAAGCCCTAATATGAATTACAAAAATAAATTTATCGACTATTCCAATTTCTGTTTCCAAAATTTAGAATAAATATGCAATTATTTGCTGCTTCTTAATTTTTTACATTTCATAAAAACTACAAAAAGCAATTAGCAATTAAAATTTTTCACCAATATTCAACGTGGATTATTATTTCACACTACATAGTTTGACGTATTTGCTACTTTTTCAATTATTGAAAATCTTTATTTAAAATGCATACTTATTGTTGAAAATCGTTTACTAATCATTTGGATAAAGTTAGAGTTTGTAGTACTTATTATTATGCTAAAGCGTTTTATTGCTAAAATTTTTGGAAACAATGCTGGAATTATCTGAATTTTAGCCAGAAAATTCCGATTATCAAGACTTCAATGCATTTATATAAAAAGCTTTCATTTGCATATTAACCATTCTAGCAGTGAATTTCAGAATTTTTTCATCTTTGTAATTTACAATTATTGTTGTGATATGATTATTTTTGATATAAATAGAAAAAATTGGTATTAAATATTGAAGCAAATTTATAAAACTTATTAAAGTTATATTCGATGTAAATTAAATTGTTTTCAACTTTTTGAGCAATTTTTTGAAATAGATAATAAATTTAATTTGTTTTACTCACAACACTTACAGAATTCAACTCTTCTCTTCTACATCTCAAGTAATGTCTTAACTAAGTTCAAAAGTTTGACAAAATAATCAAAGTTTGATTATTTTGCACAAAAATTTCCCTTTAAAATTCACAAATAACTTCATTCTTGAAATAAAATTAATACCCTGAATAAGTCAAATATTCAAAATTAAAAATATATTATGCAAAGCATTAATTAAACGTTTTACGTATGAATTTGTGACAGCAAAATGCTTTTTTTTACATCAATTTAAAGTGATTATTTTCAAAAAATGCAATCTATTTTTTATTTTGCACTTAATTTTGCATACTTTTTTATAGTCTAATTTTCTTTTTTTTTACTTATTATATTTTAACTTTTTTTAAAATTTTGACAAAAAAAAAGAATATCTTTTATTTAGAAAAGCAATATGAAACTGCAGTATTCAATAACTTTCTAAGACCAAAAAAAATGAAACTTTTTTAAAGTTTGTGAATTTATTATTCCCACTAGATGAATTCAAAAATTGGAAAACACAAGTTCTGCTATTTTCAAATCAAGAATTTAGTGGCAAAAAAATTTTTTAAATTATATTCAGTAAAGTAAAGAGATTCTTTAGCATGTAATGCAATCCTTTTTGCATGGGTTAGTATTTTGCACTAATTTGAGTTTAGTTTTTATTTTTTTCAAATTTATATTTTTAATATAAGTAATTAAATTATTTACTAAATTCAAATCATAAATTATGTAAAACTTTTTTAAATATGCTCAATACTATGCTTTTTATTTTGTGATTTTTCATTCAATATCAGTTGATGATCACTTTTAGTGAGTGCAGTTAACTTAATATTTTTATGCTTGAAAACACAAATTAATTTTTCATATTCGAACCTAAAAAATATATTTTATCACTAATGATGATAAAGCAACTTTCGTTTATGTTTCTACTTTTGTAAATTAGTATTGAATCAAAAAAAAAAATTCTAAATCAAAAATTAATTTAAAATTTAATCAAATCAAATTTAAGCAATAGTTAGATTCTAACATATCTGATTTAAGTTAACCATTCAAAAATTACAAATTATTTTTACAGAGTTAAATTTGATATTTGCATAGCAAATTAAAGTTACTTTTTCAAGTCATAGCAATAGATTTTTGTTACTGAATTTTGTTGGCTTAACAGAACAAACTTTGTGATATTCTAAAGTTGCCTTGAAAATAAAATCTAGAATTTTTCTTTTTCTAGCAATTT